TCTCGTGCCGCTAGCTGCTTTAGTTCACGAGATACGAAATATCTGGTGTCTTCAGGGTCGGGGGTAGGTCATAGCCCAATAAGGGTTGTGATTATGATGTACGCAGCATGCCTATCTTATAGCAACAAAATACGCCGTTGGTCTCGGGTCGCTAGCTGCTTTAGCTCACGAGATACGAAATATCTGGTGTCTTCGGGGTCGGGGGTTGGTCATACCCCGATAAGGGTTGTGATTATGATGTACGCAGCATGCCTATCTTATAGCAACAAAATACGCCGTTGGTTTCAGGTCGCTAGTTGCTTTAGCTCACGAGATACCAAATATCTGGTGTCTTCGGAGTCGGGGGTTGGTCATACCCCGATAAGGGTTGTGATTATGATGTACGCAGTATGCCTATCTTATAGCTACAAAATAGCAACAAAATACGCCGTTTGTCTCGTGCCGCTAGCTGCTTTAGTTTACGAGATACGAAATATCTGGTGTCTTCGGGGTTCGGGGGTTGATCATACCCCGATAAGGGTTGTGATTATGATGTACGCAGCATGCCTATCTAATAGCAACAAAATATGCCGTTGGGTTCGGGTCGCTAGCTGCTTTAGCTCACGAGATACGAATTATCTGGTGTCTTGAGGTCGGGGGTTGGTCATACCCCGATAAGGGTTGTGATTATGATGTACGCAGCATGCCTATCTTATAGCAACAAAATACGCCGTTGGTTTCAGGTCGCTAGTTGCTTTAGCTCACGAGATACCAAATATCTGGTGTCTTCGGGGTCGGGGGTTGGTCATACCCCGATAAGGGTTGTGATTATGATGTACGCAGCATGCCTATCTTATAGCTACAAAATAGCAACAAAATACGCCGTTTGTCTCGTGCCGCTAGCTGCTTTAGTTTACGAGATACGAAATATCTGGTGTCTTCGGGGTCGGGGGTTGATCATACCCCGATAAGGGTTGTGATTATGATGTACGCAGCATGCCTATCTAATAGCAACAAAATATGCCGTTGGGTTCGGGTCGCTAGCTGCTTTAGCTCACGAGATACGAATATCTGGTGTCTTGAGGTCGGGGGTTGGTCATACCCCGATAAGGGTTGTGATTATGATGTACGCAGCATGCCTACCTTATAGCAACAAAATACGGCGTTTGTCTCGTGCCGCTAGCTGCTTTAGTTCACAAGATACGAAAAATCTGAAATATCTAAGAATAAGGGTAGTTAGCCCCCCATGAAGGGGAGGAATTTTTCCATATCTAACCAGCTTATCTTACAGCAACAAAATAGCAACAAAATATGCCGTTCATCTGATCTCTCTAACTGCTTTTGCCTCCGAGTTATCGCTGTGGTTTCGCTAGCGTAATATTACGCTAGCGTAACTGGCGTTTTTCCGAGAAATCATGGAGCAACAAAATCAATTCTTGTGGCACAAAATAGCAACAAATTAGCAACAAAATACTATATACCTTAGGATATGGACTTATGAAATTGTTACGCTAGGGTAATATACCTGGCAGTGCGAGTAAGATTCGTAGTATGAAAACTTACGGTATATTATTGATGCAAATGAAATGATGTGAAAATAAAAGTTTGGGTAAAATATTTTTTATTATTATAAGTCTTTTAATAAATTTTCATCATCATATTAGGTAATTTGACATTGTGGGTTACCTATAATGCGAAGAGATGGCGCTGTCTTGCGGCTTAAGAATGGCTCGAAGAATTTCGATGCGGTCCGTGAAGGCCGCGGTAGCATAATTGGTCAGTGCATTCGCCCGGATTGCGAAGGGTGCGGGTTCGAGTCCCGTCTGCTGCCTTGTCAGCGTGGAATTTATTCTAGTTATATTTTCTTTAGATTTAAACATCAAGCAGTTACATACTTTAAAATTATAAAAATTATAACTATAATTGCTATTTCTTCTTTCAAATGTTTAATTCTTGTAAAAGTATTCATTTGACATTGTGGGTTACCTATAATGCGAAGAGATGGCGCTGCCTTGCAGCTTAAGAATGGTTAGCAGAATTTCGACGCGGTCCGTGAGGGCCGCCGTAGCATAATTGGTCAGTGCATTCGCCCGGATTGCGAAGGGTGCGTGTTCGAGTCCCGTCTGCTGCCTGGTCCGCGTGGAATTTTTTCTAGTTATATTTTCTTTAGATTTAAACATCAAGCAGTTACATGCTTTAAAATAATAAAAAATATAAGGATTCTTAGTTGCTGATTTCATCATCTAAAAAGAAACAAAGTTTTAATACATTAATAATAACATTACATCTCTGATCTTGCGCTCAATTATATAGAATTCCATATATTTTTATGAAATGTGTATTACCTTTAATGTGTTCTTCAGCGTCACTTGACTCATTCTCAGCAGTTTATTCTTATTAGCGCATTTAAATAAAAGCTTGTTTATAAAAAGTTTTTTTTTACTTTTTAGCTATCGATGGATATAATCGAGGAATTCAAAAACATTATATTCTTAGAAAGTCCTTTCATTTGATACCCATGTTGTAGTTTCTTTTGTTAACAAATTAGTAGCTTCGTTTTAGAAATATTTGCATTGCACAAAACCTTCTATGATTTATTTTTAGTAAAAACTTCGAGGATCGTTTTTTCTTTTTAAAATAGACATTATTTTGACATAGTTGGGAAAGAGAATGCACGAGTTCGGAAAAGGTAAAGAAAAAGCTCGAGTATGTATGTAATAGCTCACATCCCAAACACTCTACGTCCCTGCAATACGCCACTTTTTGAGAAACTATATCAAAAATATTTTTTCAAATCGGAGCAGTGGTTCTTGAGATTAGCGCGTTCAACCAAACAAACAAAATCTTCAGCTTTATATTAGTATAGATCTATAGACATAATTACCTAAACGTTTTTGTTATAATCAGATTTTACTAACCAAAAAGCTAATTAACTTTTTCACTGAGCAATATAACAAACGTTAATAATGGCGGGGTGCATGTCCGAAACCTCACTCAACAAAATTTAACCACAAAATAGATAGAACTGTTACTGGTAAAGGCTTATTTGCCGTCAGCAAAACGTCGACAATTCGGAGAAACGTTACATTACGTAGAAATATTCTAGTTCGCACTCACATTTACTCGGTGCGAGGCAAGCGTTTGTATGACAGTTTCCAAACTAATATCATAGGGGCTGGGCAAATAGTTGATATTCAAAAGACAAAAGTCAAATTGTTTAAATTCTTTTTTCAAATTGGATGCACAATACAACTGGGGTCAGATGTGCTACCAGATTAATATAATGGAGATATTTTGCTGTGTTTCATGAGATCTCATGAATTCAATAATAATAAAATTTTACAGAATAGCCCCGCTGGACAAACACCACAGTGAATACCACAATACCACTGGTTAAAATATCTCAGCTCAGATTGGTCCTATTGTTTTAATTACTGATTTAGAATATCAACGGAATTACCCCCAGATCAGAAGTTTTAAAAGCTTTTTTATATCATATATCATAAGAATCAATATATTGCAATTCAAACAGAATCTTATAACTTTTCATACTTTCTTTTGAAATAGACTATTGATAGAGTATTGATTCGTTACTATCGGTTTCCGGAGGGACATTATCCGGATGCTCTTTACAATCTGTTTCATGTTGCCGTATCGTTCCTATGTTAATTTTTGTCTGTACAGTGTGCATCTTAATTATCAATACTTATTATAAACTTGAGGCCACGCGCAAGTTCGTCCGCGTTAACTTATTTTTTTTGAGAATCCTACAGGAACCTAACATGTTTCCGGGATAAAAACTCCCATACTTAAACAGAAGAACTTAATGGTTAAAGAGGTAATCTTCTTTTATGTTAATTATACTAATATAATAATAATAATAAATAATAAATAATAATAAACGTTTATTTCTTTTAAATTGTTATACATTTAGTTTTCACATTAGTAGTGTTGTAATATTATTAATATAAGTTGTTCTAACGTAAAAATCGATATTCCGCCAAAATGCGACCTCTATCTACAATATAAAGTGAATAAAGCGAGTAAAAATGTTTTCTTAGTTTGTAATGATATACTTATATTAAAAAGGCTTCCCCTGCTCTTGCTCAGGTTAATTAATATTGCGATAATTTTCTGCTAATTACTATTTTTGTCATATTGCCGACCTCGACCTAATTAAAAACTCGATTATGATAGACTTACTAAGTATGTTCACGAGTTACTCGTACATGTTACATATGCATGATACGTTTAATTACTTAAACTCATTTGACGTCATTGATGTCTGGCTAAGGAAGAGTGTTTATTCGTATACTTATGAATTTGTTATGTAAAATGTGTGACAGAGAAGAAGTAGGAGTGGCCCGACTGGTGGTATGCGGCCTATAGACGCTTGCGATTCATGGAAATCTTAAAAACTTTACGCTTCGACAGAATCACAACATGAGTCGAGTTTCATGATTATGTTTACATGATAACGTCTATATGGTGAGGGTCTGCCAGTTTATCATAGATGCTCGCCTAAAGCATAGAAAATATTCCAATATTTTATAGTTACCATCGATTTGTGCATATGATACGGATACATTCACACATACCTACATTCATTTTTCCTCAGTCATGGTTCTTTATATGGTGAGGTACACTTCTAATATTATGCTTGCGAGAGAGAATGTTTAAGCTATGTTTAATTGCTTTATTAATTAACTAAAGCAATTAAGCTAAACTCAAAGTGAAACGTATAACTTTGTCAAAAAAAAAAATATTTGTCATGACTTCGGCGAAACCAAACCCGTTTCCCCAGAACACAATTATTGTTAAACACACGTTTTCTTTGTGTATGAACGCGAATGAGGTTGGGCAATTTTACGAGTAAAAATTCATTCTCTATAATGATATCCACATGAGTACGTTGTACTATTTTATGGTCGATGTAGTAAAATTTATTTTGAAATGTTGTTGTGCAGGTGACATCACACAGAAGGGCTATGAAAAGAAGCGGGCACGTCTTCTCACACCATACATTCCACAACAACAACCTCAAGGTAAGTGTAAATTAAGAAAATCATAATAAATCGCCGCTAACCCTGTTGCCTGAACTAATCACAGGTTCACCTGTCATGGCCCGCGAGTACTGGCTTGGCTTCGAAATTTGAATTAATCGCTGGCGTCATGCAACGCGACTAATGAGCTTCCCAGTACTTACGAGTCCAAGGTCACGACAAAAGTGTCGCAGGGGTCGAGTGTCAATTGGTCGCCGTCGATGGACATTGGACATTCGCGAAATGATCGAGGCGTTAGTATGTATTCCATGCTCCAATTCTCCAACGAGGGTTAAACGGTGGGGCCATCTTCAATCCGGACCCCGAAGTGTTCGAATTTAGAACATGAGTTCAGTGAACCGCGTTGTTTATTTTTTTTTATTTGTATTGTGAATTTTGAATGGTTCATGTAAGTCTCTATGTCTGGTTTTAGGTTAAACTATCATTACAGTGTTCGGTCAACAGTCGAAATTATTAAAATAATGAGGTTGGCCTTCAGAGTCACTGTTCAACACAAAAAGTAATTTACTTCACAATCGGCTAACAAGGGAAGTCCACTGTCCATCGGTAGCAGTTTATTTACTATTATTTTGTTTTAATTTCCTTTTTAATGTTCCTTTAGTTATTTAATTATGGTTTAGTTAGTCGGATGGCCACACGCACTTCAACCACACTTTATCACCATGGTACTTACCTGGTCCTAATGGCACGTAATGTTACACCGAATACATGGCACAGTTGAACGGCTTTTTCTGCTTGCGGTGCAATTGCTCGGACAAAAAAATGTACCCATTTAAAAACCTTGGCCCGAGGTGAAACGTAATGAGATGTTTATGAAATTAAAACGGTCGTTGAGGTGTTACCTCGCCATCAATTTGAACGTTATTTTATCTGTGTTTGCAATTTGTCCATGACATTTTAATTGATTATTGATATCTAGATGTTGGATTTGAAATATTTCAAATATCCTACCTTTTGTTAAATATTACCAATGCCAACTACGTGACTAATATCAAAACCAAAGCCGCTAACCCTAACATAACAATAGTGGCTTCGTTAATGCGCTTGCACGTTGAAAACTGCATGACAGATAGCAATCATCATGTTTAATTGAAACATTTATTTCAGGAGATTCGTGACTTGACAACTTACAACTTCTTTTTTAACTGTACAATTACATAGTAATAACTAAAAGAACCATTAAGTTACTATCGATCAAGTATTAAATTATTGAAAAATAAAATAAAAGTCATTCATTACAGTCCATGGATTGGTTAGTTACAATCACATCATTTTGACATATAACTATTTAATAAGAATTTACAATTTGGAAATAATACCTAGATCACAGTCCCATCAAACTGTCACTCAGACTAGCAGTTGAGTATCAGCCTTCGAAGCTATTGATCTTCTAGATGGTGATCTCACTTCCAGTTCCGTTATATAAACGCAGAGTGTCTCTTTTAATTTATTAGCGTAAAAGGAATACCCATACCCCGTATCTACAAATATTCCTGAAGCCCTGCACTACCGAAGAAATTTGATTTTTAGAAACCTTTTACAATATTTTGCAAATTAGGAAACAGTATTTTACTTATGTATTTCTTAAACACGTGATATTATATCAATCGGTTTTTATTAAAAAGTTTGAGAAGGTAAATCAACAATGACAATATTTATTTCACAGATATGTGTATAAATTTATGGATACGATGGATACTCTATCTAAAGAAAATTTTACTAGAAATATTCCACTCGTTCCAGGTTTCAGACAGGATCCTACTTTTAATACCTCGTGTTCGCTACTCGACACAGTTAGTTGTGAGTGATCTATATTGGTGGACAAAATAGTCCGCCGACAAAAGTCCCTCGTCTGCGCAGACCATAAAGATCCCCGGGTGAATCTCTTGATAGCGATGCTTAGTGCCGTTAAAACTTAGCAAACTCTTCGTTTTGGTCCATATGCGCGCTTGCCTGCAAAAGAATATCGATATAAAGCTGAGGCATAGGTGAAATGGTCGAAATATCGAATTACTGACGGTTTTTCTATGATATACCACGTTAGCTTACGCTTGTTTCCCAAAGATCTTAAGAGGGGAGGCGGGTAGTTCTTTTTTCCATCAACGTTTTCTGATCCCTCCTTGATTATTTTTACTAAAGAATTGATTTTCATACATAAAATATAATTTTACTCATTTTTTGTTCCTATATCTTTCTATTTTCGATAACTTGTGTTTCAAAGAAACTATAAGCCCTCAAAAATACCCGAAAATAATCAATGTTTTATCACCACCAAAGAGGTCTAATGTGCAGATTTAATAAGCATTAAAAAAAAAGCAAGACATAGAGGAATAGTATAACTACTTATTATTGTATGGGTATAATTTCTTTAACATTTATATCTAATTTTCGAGGAGGAAACCGTCGAGAGGCGAACCTCGAATTTGGCTATTTTGATACAAAAATTTCAGCGTTAAGTACTGTTGTCCCTTTCGCATGGTTTTTGCCAATGCTTGACAGCAATAGTACTTTCAAATACCTATTTTTCAAATGTATCTCAGCTCGCGTTTGCTCTTAGTTGCGCTATGAGGAAAAGAACAATCCTGTAATTGTTGTATAATAAGATTAAATAATAAATATTTCCAACTCTCACCCCAAAGTAAGCACTGAAGGCTTCTGATATGGGATACTAGGGTAACGTTTAAAATACATATACTGATACATACATATATAAGTATATTGATATAGAAATACATATTAAACATTTATTTGCCTTGAGTACAAATGCTCGTATTTATGACACAAACATCTGCCCCAGCGGGACTCGAACCAGGGAGCTCTCGAGCTCTCCTTGAAACCCAGCGTACATAACACTCTTCCACGAAGGTCGTCGAAGAGAAGAAATCTGCCTGTTAACTTCGTTTTTTATCCTCCCTATTTGCCATGCTTTTATGTGAGTTTATTTTATTGCAAGCAGCTGTTGCGGTTCTTTATCGAATATTAGACACGTTAAATCTTCTTACGTGGATGCAAAGAAGGATTATTTACTATCTCTTTGAGTGAGTCTGTTGCAAGCAATAAAATCTCCATTAGCATATTTTATTTTAACCAACTTCAAAGAAAAGTTTCTCATATAATTTCGAGGAATAAATCCGGGACCCGGAAATCTTAATATCTTAATCGTGCGGGTTAGCACCGCGGGATACGCAAAGCACCGCGGCCAATGAAAATCCGTTGCCGGACCCCTCCTGCCGTGCGGCCCCCGGAGCATGTAGGGCACCACACGTTTCAGGAACCGTGCAGTGCAGACCGGCGCTCCCACACCGGCCCGCTGGCTCCCGGAAGAGCGAGAGGGGGAACGTAGGTCTCCCCGTCCCTCCTCGCCGTCAGCGCAAGGGCGGACGCCCCTTCTCCCGAGCGCCTGCATCTCTTGTTCCCTCGTCCTTTGAGATGGGAGGAGAAAGACAGGGGAAAAAAGTCGGTGCAGAGTCCGTAAAGCCTGTGCTACTCAGATATCTTCCCTTCTGAGGGCGATCCGACCAGGCGCCGACGGCTCAATGACCCCTTTACCCGGAGTTTAACCCCTAACAGCGCGAGCCCCTTCTCATGACATGGCCTGCCGGCCAGCCGCTGTCAGCGCATTCTGCGCAACGAGATGGAGCAGCGCACATCGCTGCCTTATGCCGTCTTCCCGCATCTAAAGCACAGTGTGCTTCGGTCCTCCCTCGACGGGCACCTAGCAGCAGCGTGCCCCTTTCCATGCATCGGAAGCAATGCGTGCGCCGGCTAAGGACTTACCCTTGCTAGGCTCCTGCCCACATTTAGTCTTCCATCTTTCGCCACCTTTCTAGCGCCCCATGAGGGGCACCGAACGACTGTCACCCCCATGCCTCCTGGTCCTAGGTACATTCTCCCTACCGTCACCTACTAAGAGGGGCAGCTCCCCTTCTTAGCTATCGCCTCTCTTATCACCTCCAGAGTCAGGGACTCATCAAGCTCATCGATACTCGCAAATCCGCGCTCTTCTCCCGCCTACTAAAGTCCGCGTACTCCTCTATTACCTCGCCCATGCGCTTGGCCAAGGCGTCGGCCTTCTCGCTATTGTCGGGCCCTGAGACTAGCAAGAGCTTTGACCCCGTCTGGCTGCTCATGATTACCATACCCTTACTATTACTCCTATGCCCACGGACGGTAGCTGAATAGGCGCATGCGCCATCTTCCCGAGATTAGTGTCGGTGAAGCCTACCTCCTCCGCCATAGGTTTCAGTTTCAACTCCACCGCTGTGGTGCTCGGACGTTGATCATCGGCTCTCTCGGTGCGGGTGGCCGACCCGCCTCTGGTCTCTTTTCAGCCTTTCGGAACCGATACCTTTTATTCCACGTGGGCCTCTCCCTTCTGCACAGGGTCCAGCGGCCGCGCTTTTCCCCTTCCTATTCCCTCCTTTTCTGACGATCGCACTCCACGTTTCCGTTATCTGTGCCTCCACTACGGTCCCCGCCTTACGCCGGTCCGCTGCTAACGGCGGTCTGAGTTGCTTCGGCGGCGGTAGTCTCCCCTCCAGAGAAGCCAGCCGAGTGCTGACCATCTCCCCTATGGACAACATTAGGGAGCGTTTTAGTTCCACGACGGCCTTCGGCGGCATCCACGGTGTCGTTGACGGAGGCACCGCGGCGGACGAATCCCTGCTACCTTGCTCCTCCATTTTCTCCATCTTCTGCATGCGGGCAATCTCCGTTTCCATGGCGATCACCTTTTCCCTGAACTCCTTCCTTTTCTTTTATGATGATTCACCTTGACATTTAAAGTGCGGTCCACCATTATCTGTATCACACCTCTTAGACCACTCAAGACCTCCATCACCTCTGCCTCCATGTTGCTGTCCACTATCCGACGCTTAACTGCTGAACACACCTTGTCTATTGAGGCATTCATGAGCTTCTCCATTTTGTGGTTACCCATATACAAGGATAGGATCCTCCTCCTTTTCCGACGACCACTCCAGAGACCGTGTAGCAGGCCTCTTCTTCAGCTTGAGGTCCTCTCTCTGCATCTCCGGCTTTGCCTTTGGTGCGGGGGGATCTGCGGAAACATTACGCCTACGCACTATATTCACCTTAGGGGGCGTCGGTGTTATGTTCACCCCATCATTTCTGTCCCTTTTCCTTTCAACGTCTCGGTAACCGACTTACCATTGCGGGACCCGGTAATCCGGTGGCTAGCCGGAGCGCATGAGCCGCTAGTAGTCAACTTCTCACCCTGGGGCCCAGCTACCCCAGTGAGCCAGGCGTCAACGGGACCGCATGACAGATACTTACAGTATCTCGACATTCTCATTATGTTGTTCCCTCTTCCGG